GTTCTGTAATTATTAACGGGTTCGAGTTCGAATATGCTTCAAACCCGACCCGACCCGACCCTTACGGAGCACTAGTCATTATTAATGTAAAATGAAGAATGAGTTGAATAATGTGGAATAGAAAGAAAAAATTCAAGGAAGAAAAAAAGAAGCGTAGGAAAAAAATATTAATGACGAAAAAAAGTATAAATCACTAATCATGCATAATCACGTGTTATGTTTAATGAGTGACACGCTCCTGGGAATTACACATTTATTTCATGGGGTTAGGAATACCATGGTTTTTTCCCTTTGGGAAAAAAACCATAATATTCCTAACCTCCCATGAAATAAATAATACAAATTTTTTTTAAATTTATTATTGTATGCCTTTATTAAACTTAGACTACTGCATTTTATGCGCCCGCAGATTTTTTTTTTTTTTTAGGCACAAAATGCAAATCCTAATACAGAAATGCATGATAAATACCGTGTAACATGACCACCAAAATTTTCGTATATTTGATTCAAGTAGTTTTCCCATCTAAAATTTAATATATATTTAATTTAAATTATACGTTTATTCATTTATTTGAAAATCAGAAAATAAATAGACAAATAAGCAAATGGACATACTGTATTTCGAAAAATGTAAGTACTGTACATTTTTAAGTAACGTTTTTCATTCAAAAAATTCCCAATTTTGAAGGAAATTTTTCAAAACTTTTTTAAGTCCACGCACATTAGCATTTAGGTCACGGGTCACCTAATCGTTAAATTCTAATTAATTAAAACTACTCAAAATGTAAAATTATTTAACGAGATTACTGCATAAAAATTATGAAGGTAAAATTACGAAGGCGATAATATCGCAAGAAAAAAAGGGAAAGAATTAAGGTGAATTTATAAATATAGGAAGGCGACTAAGCTTATAAAGGGGGAGGGTACTAATTATTTTTTTTTTAAAAAAAAAAAAAATTACAACTAATAAAATAAAAATTATTTACATTAGGATAAGCTTATAATATTTGGACTTGTCTGTTAGACTAATTAACACAGGATTCTAAAAAAAACTTGCTAATTCCAAGAGAAACTTGGCATCTTAACAATATCTAACGATATGGGTATCGTCGAAATTGATCTTCAAAGGTTAACCAAAAATTATCCGAAGGCGACTTATGAGCGAAATCTGAGATTTTCGGGTGGATTATATCCAATGTAACAATACGAATATTAACTATTGAAATTGGTTCTCTTCATTTCTTGGTTTACTTATTTTTTTTATTCATTTCTATACTTTGATTTTTCTCTTTTCAATACGGAAAAAGTTCACCATCCGATTATTCCTTAAAAGCCAACCCAATCACATCGTTACGATTTTTACATGTAAAATTTTTTTATTAAACCCGGGACCCCGGATCAATTTTAAAATTAATGTTATGTGAACCGATGATAATTTGTGTGACCTAATGGAGACCTTGAAGATAAAGAATTTCAAAGATACATACTATTAAATTATGGATGTCAAGATTCACTCAGAAGATTCAACAAAAAACGGCATTACAAACCAACCTGTCTAAAATTCTTTGACGGAAAGTTTTTTTATGAATGACAATGAAATAGTAGCAAAGTATTTAACAATGATTGTTTTTCTACAGTTGTTTGAAATGTTGTAATAAATAAACAAATAAAGTTTGAATTCGTCACAATAACAAGTATTTATCGTGCTCGCCCATATGATGTAGACGATCTTGTTCTAATATTTTTTTTTGCGATATCAAGAAGCTTATATTATTATATTCATAAAACAAACAAGTTAGCTTTTTAGTAGATTCTAAAGAGTGATTCTTCCATTTTGTTGAAAGAATTTAGTATAAATTACGAATACGAGAATGAAATTGAACTTTCTCTTCATAATTTTAAGTCAACATCATAAAATCACACGATAATATCGTTATTGTGCCATAATAAATTGGATTCAACGCAATTTGTTTTCGGTAACATTATAAATGAACTGTAAATATATTCGTCAAAAAAGTTTTATTTTGCTTGTATCCTATGTTGAATTTGTAAATGGCGTTTTTCTCATAGATAAAGTTTCGTTGAGGTAAATCCATATAAAATTATCATTATCGACATTCTTTTGGTAATTTATTATGCACAAGTGAAACATCAAGATCTGCGATGATGGAATATCTGGATCGTCAATTATTTTATTATGTCATAATGCAGTTGCCAAGCACGAAACAATATACAATGAATTTTATTTTTGTAAAGCCGCGCTGAATATGTATTATCAGGAATAGAAAATGAATTCAAATATAGTTGGAAAATTGGACAAAAAAAATGCAGTTCTTGAGTATTTATATCTTAAATTCAAATAATAAATTTTAATAAAAAACGTATTTATATCTTAAATTCAAATAATAAATTTTAATAAAAAACGGATATTCATCAAAAAGCTTATTATCTAAAAAATAAACATCTCACCGTCAGAAATAATGGGTGTCTTCGTTAATGCTTATACATTTTATAATACATCTATTTATGCGTTATGTTTTGAATTGTTTGGTTTAATGGGGTTGAACATATTGATATTAATAATTGGAGTTGGAAAATATGAGTTAACTTATCATATTGGAAGTAAATGGTTAATAGCTACCCAATGATATTAACTTATTTAATAGTGCATTTGATGATGGCAATATCTAACAGAATAAATTTAAATCTAATATCCAAATATATTGGTTTTGTATGTTTTTTAATTGGTTTACTCGAGATAGGTACTGGATTTGCAATAAACACAACTATAATTCCAGGTTCGAAATTAATCAAAGGTGGAAAGTTTAAAGTTGATCCATTAGAACTATGTAAAGTTGAGACAGGATGTCCACAGCTATTCCAATCGAGATTTAGGTTTCAATGGTTACAGGGAGCTGCTGATGTAATGGTCAATGGAATTTCCAAGCAATTATCAGTAAATTG